TTTGAAATTACAAGAGAATTTCGACAAAATCGATTATAAATTTGTTTAATACATCATATTTTAAAGTCTAACCCGATAACCGAAATCCCGACCATCAAATTCCCGACATTCGGGATTTTGATACTGTCGGGATTTCGCAAATTTTATCAATTACTTTATACCGAAATAAACATTTACAGTGGAACCTCGCTTAACGAGTTTAATCCGTTCCAAAATTTCCGGATTTTTACTCGTATAGTGAATTACAAGTTTTAAAAATGATGTAGCAGGCGTGCAATCTGGGACTTGTCTTCTCACCGTCACTCGTTATGCGAAACGTCACTCGTTAAGCGAGTCATTTTTCTTACAATTCATTTTCTTCGTTAAGCGAAATGCTTTTTATTAATTTTTTTAAACGAACAAAGAAATAATCATATTAGTGAATGAATTCAAAATATAGAGATTACAAAACCAACGATTCCCGAATTCGATCATTCGACAATAATGAAGTACTCAATTTAAGTTGAACACTTAAAAGATTTTAATTATCAACCGATGGAAATCGTTCGATTATCACAAACGGAGATGTATACAATAGGATACAATTTGGACGCAAATTCGGATGTAAATGTTCAGAATCTGATTGATTCTGCTTTGTGCTGAAGGTGCATTGTCTGTTTAGATGAATTGTATCCTATAATTTGTCTTCTAATTAACAGGATAGTCCGTCAACCGAATTTCCCTTTGCTTAATTGGAAGTTCGACTTGCGCTGTTCGCTTCGACAAATTACCATAAGATTTGCATACGAATCGTCTATTGAAATCAGCCGAACTGCGTTTCACTCTTCGATGCAAGCAAAATACAATTGGTCGAATTCCGTTGTATGCAATAATTAACGATGTAATCGATTCAGTTTGTGAGCAACATGTAATAACAGCTTAGAAGCGTTCACATGAAATAATTAATCTAATAACATTTACTTCTTGATCATATTTAGTAATATAAGCATATACTTTTAATAGACTAAGATTTTGTATTTAATCTCACCTATAAAATGTAAAGAACGGCGCACTAATAAAATAAATTTGTTCGAAAACAGAAACAATTACAAAAAAAAATAATGTAAAATTATTTACCATTATATTCATAGACTTTGCAGCAGTTAGTTCTTTTTGTGTTACAATTATTGCTGTGAATGAAAGATTAATTTTTTATTTTGGCTGTTGCAATAAATATTATTATTTTCACCAATTAAATTAAAAAAAAAATATTTTTGTAAAAAAAAAATTGGATATTTTCAAAAGCTACTTAATTTGATTATCAGTTGTGGAAACGAATTTTTTTCTGTTTGGATTAGTGTACGGGAAACGAATGTTTTGGTAGCTAAGGCTTTAGAGAACCTAATGCTCATATTACTGTTTTGTTAACGCTTAATAATTCGATCGTAAAGTCTGTTGGAAATCCGAAACTTAGAAGAATTAATTTAAAACATATGTAATCCGTTTTCACATATTATTCACCTTTCACCTTCAGGAGGAAACTTATGGACAATTGTAATAAGCAAGAATAACAGTTGATACAATCTATTTGAATACTGAAATGATTAATAGATTAATTAATGCAGCATAGATATAATCCGTTGTCACATATTATTCCTCATTTACAAATTATATTAAAAACAGTGAAAATTCGAAATTGTAATTGTAAAAAAAAATAAGGCAAAAACAATCCACATACCTTATTTACGTCATTATAAAATATCATAGACTATGTCTGAAATATTATTGTAAAAAACACGGAAATTTTAAAACGTATTTTTCATATTACATTCGAGATTCATATTGCAAACGAAATTTTGTTCTGGTTTGGATTTGTGTTCGGGAACCAAATAGTTCAATAACTCCAATGACTTGGAGAAGCTAAATGTTCATTTTTAGAAAGTATTCTTGCGATCATAGCAAAGATAAATATTTTTAGTTATAAAGTTCAATTGGATTGACTTCAATTTAACGAAAAAACTATAAAATATATAATTTCCTACATGTACGAATATTTATTTTGCAAAATTTTCAACATTTAGCAGTGATGATTGCAGTGAAGATTTGCGGTCACATATTGATGTGCAATGCGATTTGTGTGTCTGTCCCATCGGAATATTCCTAGCGACAGGAACATCGGAAATGACGGACGCGGTAAACCGGAAGCAGCAATCGACGATGATCAGTTGAAGGCCTTAATTGAATTTAATCCGATACGTGTCAAATGGTACGCGAGCATCGAAAAACGCAAATCAATACGGAAAACCGAGGACAGTGTCCGTCTGGCTATACATACATCGAAATAAAAAAATAATATTTGAATGTCAAGGTAAAAAAAAAAGATTATTAAATAGAAATTACATTACTGTTAATATATCAGTTGATAATCGTGTGTCAATTGCATTTATTAACGGTTTAATCCAATTGAATTGAAACAGATTTTGCATAAGCCAAGTTTGAGAGTCTATCCGTATTATAGACACTGAACAATAGAGTATAATATGTGTACTAACCACAAGCTATTGTTTTTATTGTAGTATTAGTGAAGCTTCACTTGGCTACATGATCACCAACAATTTAACAACGCTAAGCAAGATTTCAATAACTATAAAAGTGCAAATAAAAAAATATGGAATAAAGAAAATATAGTAGTTGAATCATTCAAATTTTCTTCTATCTTTTATAATTATTATGTAGAAGGGAATTTCTGATTATAATATTTTTTTCTAAGACCACAATGAAAACGTTTATCGTATAAATGAAAAGCATCAAACAAATATATTCTCTATTTTATTATTTAATCAGATTTCAAGCTAATTGACGAATTCGCAATTTACAGAGAACGAAACCCTCATACTAAATACTCACAAACAAAACAGAACGTGTATCAAATGCAAACAACAATGGTTAATAATATACATTGTCCTTTGTATATTAATTAATTCAAACCCTTTGTTTTTCATGACTATTCGTTGATTAAATTCATTGTACGACTATATTTAGTTTGCAAAAAAGTGCCAATTATTTGTGAAATGTAATGCGTTTGAGTGCGAAATAAATATAGGAAGAAACATCTAATTAGCTAATTGGATTCCATTATATTTGCTTACATAACTTATTGAATTCAATTATATTAATTAGTAACTATGCTAATTATACCGTTCTGATAATTATGTTATACAGCAATATCTTGCATATTATTGTTTCGATCAGTGCGGTTTATTTTTATATATATATATATATATATTTAGTTACGCGATCTCAAACAGTGCGGTATATAGGCGGAACAGATTACCCGCCCTATGCGAAATATGCTGTATATTGATACTGTATTATTGGTAAAAGCCTAAAGTGGATTACTTCAACATTCCCTAGATTTTCTACCCTACATAAATTTCCATAACAAAATACCTTATCAACTTGACATTTATGAAAAATAATTAAAATATTATGCTTCATTATTTAATAAATTCATATTTATTTCCGCCCAAATAATCTAATCATTGCTGTTCTCCTATCAAAGCTAAAGCTTTAAACGCACTGCAGGTCAGTCGCAGTATAAGATTGAGTAAAGTGACTTTTGCTCTTTTAATTTGTATAATAGGTAATATTCTTATTTTTCTGTTATTAAAAATAGTAACATTTATCAGAAATTATATTATAACATTTGGTTTGCATAATGTGTGACAAAAATTATAACAAAACAGTTTATTTATTTTGATGACAAAATAGACGTAACACGATAGCGCTCGTGTACAAAAAAAAAACAAGATTATACAAATCTTCAGAAGGCTAGGGCGCCACTTCCTTTTCCTGAGAGGAAGAACTCTTACAACTGCTTCCTCAGATCAGCACACTTCTTCTCCGACGGTGGGCCTTAGCTTCTCTAGAGCACCAACAACGTCCTCTTGGAGCTTATAAATATATATCGATATCTTCTCAACTGGAGGTTCGCTGCGGTTTCCTCGAATTTTGGAAACATAGTTGCAACGTGGAGCGCACTTGCAGCGTTGTCTATTTTACCACGTTACAACTACCTCCCTTCCCGGTAAAAAAAACGAATAATTCTACTATGAGTTTTTTTTTTCCCACAACAAACAAAACTTAATATTAATGATAACGTGGAGCGCACTTGCAGCGTTGTCTATTTTACCACGTTACAACATATTAAATGGATTGAAGGGTGAAAAGAAATTTTGGATTTGTGTTTGGGAAGCGAATATATTAATTCTTGATTTGCAAAGTCTGCCAAAGAATAGTTTATTTATCTTGATGATAATACGTTTAAAATAGATTGAAAGTAAGAAAAATCATTTGGAAGAGCATATCGTAAAATTTGTCAAACGTTTGGCGATCATTGGAGCACAGGTTATATGATTTTCAATATTATTTGAGAAGTAGAAGGAAAGTAAAAATGTAAGTTGCTTCGAAAATTGAATTATAAAAGGTTGAACTATAAAAATCAACGTAATTGGAATTATCAAGTACTTATAAAGTTACTTGGCATGTAATACTTTTCCCTGAAGATGATCTTCTTTTTATGACTTTTTACCTAAATCTATCAGACTTTTTGAGAACTGGACTAAGAAGTCCTTTTGGTATACCTTGTTATAAATGATCGAAGAATTTATAGAAAACTTTTTTCACCATTTCCCTGATTTCTGATAGATCGACGCCACCACGCTTGTTATAAAATGCTATGATTTCTGGACAAGGTAATTCACCTTATTTGTTTGTCATGGAATTGCTCAGAGCTATGATTTTTTTTGTATCCTGCCATCTCGCAACTGTTATGTCAAATAATTTCATAAATACCAACATACTTTTGCTGGGACATATTATCCTAATATTCTTGAAAGGGTTAAAAACAATCTATAAAAACTTTTAAACAAATATATTATTCAGTATTCGTTTATATTTGTTGTGAATAGAAACATAGAAACATAGAAATAGAAAACACATCTAATAATTTTATACATTACCTGCTAAGTTGCCACGTTGCATAAATCACGGGCGTGGTGCAGGTTGGTACGAAAGCGAACCACACGAGCAGTGTGTACATGATGTCAAAGTGTCCACTGTTGTCGTAGGTCTCCAGTAAAGCCAACCTGACTACCCTCATAACCATAAGAGGAGCCATGAAGCTGGCGTAGAGGGCAACGATACCCATCAGATAGTGCTGGGTGCGACGTTCCTTGGGTATATCCATATCACCGTCGGCGACGCTCTCCATATGTCTAGCTCTGAAGCTGCTGCCTCTGCTATACTCGCTGATTCCGTCGCAATCCCGACTTCCCCTAGGAATAAGGATATAAATAATTAGCATATCCAATTAGCGTCGAAATGCAAATCGGAGAGATGGAAAATTGCGCGAGTATTTCAATTAATTACGGCGCGTTTAAACGCTACGCACGTTAATGCTCAATTAATATGTCAAGAGTTTTATTCGATCTACCGGCTCGAATATATTTAACGCAATTATAATTACGTTTCATTTCTGGGATACTGTTTAAAACGGCCGATTCAATTAATTAGCGTGTCAATGATTTACAGCCAACAGGAAACAACGTAATTGGGGCCATCGTCACTGCTGAAACTTTCCTTTCAAATTAAGTTACAAAGTGTACATCACTTCTGAACCATCAAGAGTAAATATACTATTAAGAGCTTGACAATTAGACCCAAATTTAATTTACATACTTTTTAACTGCTTTAACTAACAAACATTTAAATTATGCAAAAAGTTTTAAAATCCTTAAATTTTAAAGAATATCAGATAAAACGTTAATATATTAAATAAAATTCGGAAAGAATTTTAGACCTTTTGTCCAAATTAAGGCACATAAAAATAGTAAATAATTATGAAATAAACGTTTATAATTTAATATAATTATAAGTTTTTATATGTTACTTGTTGAAAATAAGTTCTGAAATAAATAAATTGATTAAAAAAAACTGTATTAGATTATCGAATAAAGCTTTTCGGAGAGTTTATGATAAATTTTATGATGAAATTATGAATTTCTAAAAAAAATATATGAAAATGCACACCAAATTAAAAAAAATTATATTACCTGAATACAAAAAAAGTCATAACAAATACTGCAATAGCTTGTAGAGTACGGGTCTGTTCCGCAACTGTACTAATCGAGAAACTAAATAAAATAGAAATAAACCACTTAAAAAGAAATTTGACTGTATAAAGAAAAACATCATTATTGTATAAAAAAATAACAATAATACAAAAAAAATTTGTATACATTTTAATTAAAAAATATTAAGAATGCAGCAATTTTATTGATACTTATTAAGATATGTTTACTTATATGGTTTATTCAACTTTTTTCTATGTTGGATGACCAATAATCCTTTAAAATAGTTAAGAAAATTATTAGAATTTTCTAATCAGTTTTTGTATGTTATTGCAGAACTACAAATAAATATATTTTTTCTATTATTTATTAACTAATGTATTAATAATAATCATTGGAATTAAGTGAACCTATGATAAAGATAAAATAAATGTTTATTTATTGGAACCTCGGTTCTCGAACAATTCGGTTCAGGTATCGGTTTCCAAACAATTTTAGATTTGTTTAGAAAGTACTATTCAATATGTAAAATGCAATTTAGTAGTTCACCAGTTTTTTTTATTATTTTCTTATTATAAATGTAAATATGAAGAGCAACTACCTAGAACTTAAAAGTTAAAATTTTATTGGAAACCAATGAAATGGATGTAAAATCCATATATCTTAAGAATAATTAGGTTATTGTTATAAATTTATTAATTTATTTTTGTTGTCTGTATAAATATTGCAATAAATAATAATATTATGATAAAAAAATATAATTTAGCAGCGAAAAAGCTGTAAAAATTTTCATTTGTATTGAAAAATGTAATTTAAAATTGATTTTTAATCCAAATTATAATAAAATCAAAAAATGTTTTACAAATAAACTTCTAACATCATTAATCTCACTTTCTTATTTATAACTCAACAAAATTTGAGCTGAACCGGTAATTCCTGGGACAAATTTCGCGGGAATTTTGGAAACAAATATATAGTCATCTTCTTGAAGAGCCGAATTAAGGTTGTCTTGGACCCAATTTAAGATAAAACGTGACTTCTAAGCCTGTGCAGAAATCGTCTACTGATTAAATATTTCTGTTGTTATTTCATAATAAAAAAAGTATTTATTCATTCTATGCATTCCATTTCCAACAGTGAAAAAGTAATTTTCCATTGACAGTTTTAATTTGTTGTTTTTTTTGTAGCTACATTAAATCCGACTAAAGTGAAATTTAATCTTCTGCATGTGCTCTGGGTATTGTTAATTGCTTGCTAAAGTAATTACTTTTATTCCAAAATAATTTTAATACCATTAAATTTCGAGCAAAATCCGTTTAGTTTATAAACATTTTACAAAATATATTATATATTATATGTTTACAATAATTTTAGGCCTCAATTATGACCTTGGCTATCAACCAAGTCGTTTCCGTTAGAAAAGAATATAATACAATATATTCAGTTTGGTGGGAAATTGTAATTCAATCGAGTGAAAGTTCATTATATGCAAAAGTAATTATTTTTTGTTAAGACGTAATTTTAATCCTTTCATTTCGAACAAAAAGCATTTAGTTTCGTGAATCTTTTAAACATATAATGTATTGATATAATGGATATAAACTGCCCGCACTGTATGAAATCGTACTAATCAAAGAACTAAATAAAATAGAAATAAAACGCACAAACAGAGACTTGGATGTATAAAAGAAAACAATTATTTTTGTATAAAAAATGAATTTCTCAACTAATTTCTTACAATATATTTCTTACAATGTATTTTGCTCAATAAAAAATAATTTGTTTTGAAATCTCTAAATAGGACTATTGTGAATCCGGACTGATCAAAGCGAGGTATTGCTGTATTTGGAAATAATTGTTTTATATTGTAGTATATTCAGTTTGCATTTAAAGAATGTAAGAAATACAATAAAAGTAATACTATTATTGTTAGCTGACATTGAACATAAAATACGTTTGTGAAGCAGAACACAATTCTAAGAAGAAAATCTGTCTGTTGGTTTGCTTTCAAACAATTTCCATGGTTTCGTATCAACAATTGCTTATTGAGATTGCTTTGTATCAATCAAATAAATATTATTACATAAATCTATGAATCTGTAAATAAAAGAAAATAACTTATATAAATGGTAATGTGAAACACTCTTTTTCTCTTTTATCTCTCTCTCCTTATATTTTTCTCTTCGCTTTCCACCTTTTTTTTTTCTTCTTTTGGAAGAAGGGGATTATTGTATTTGAAGTACAGTGCAGTGGTTCCCAGGAGAAACCGGAAACCGTTGGAATGCTAACCTAATTATCCCATACATTCTCAAAGTTAAACGAGAATCCAATATGTTATGAGCGTTGTACGCAATCGCGATGGAATTTTCCCTATCTGCGGAAAATGTACGTGGGTGGAGATGGAAAGGTGCGGAAAAATAGCAATTTCAATGCAAGTATTGCTTACCTACACACGCAGCGGAAGCCCCGACAGTGAGAATCTCATTTACTTCCCTGCATGTGAGAGGCTTACTTTCCATTTCCATCTCCACGCTTGTATTAATATATATATATATAAAAAAAAAGAAACGGCGATACTCCTATTCATAAACGGAGATGTAAGTGTCACTATTCCAGTGCTTCCCAACAGTGACGTAACAATGAAATATTGCCATATCGGCAATGAAATATAGTGCCATATCGGTGCCGATCAAAAATCGAAATCGCGACATTCGAAATCCCGACAACTGTCAGGATTTAGAATGTCGGGATTTCGGTTATAAACATAATTTGGAGGGTGAAAAAAATAAGTAGTAGTAATTATATAAAAAATATAAACTTCACAAAAATATTTGATTTAATTTAATTTTAGTGAATGAATCTTAACGATTTTTATAAAGGTTCAAAAAATTTACGAACTCTATTTATTCTGGATGGAGTGCTGCACGATTAGGTCATATCTTATATCAGCTTTAACGCAACTATTCCTGCACCTTTCAAGAAGATCCAATTTCTTTTTCAGATAAAAAGCTTCGTTACGAGTCCTTTTCCATAGACGATAACACTTACGCAATCCGTCCTTTCTATTCGCATAATATATGTGAACTGCACAAATGATTCCTTCTCTTATCTCTATTGATGAAGTAATACTCCAGTGTTTCCCAACATCATTGAAGTCCTAAATTTTGAATTATGCAAATAAATGATTTAATGATCTCATGATGATTGTAAATGGATTATCTCAAACCACATCCATAATTATTTGAAAACTTAATATATGTTGTATGAGAACATTCACAACTCAAGCAAACTTCAAACATTTTTTATTAAATCTTTGTTGACATGTTACTACTGCATTGCTTCTTAACCATGACCACCTATGTTATTTTAACAACTATGTAAACTTTTGTAAAAATACTAGTAGTTGAAGTGTGAATGAAGGTTGTCATAATCAATTTCTGTCAAATATCTGTAGAAATGTAATTACTTCAGTGCTTTCTAACCATATACTCTAACCACATCCATACTTATTTAAAGACTTACAAATATTTTCTATGAGAACATTCACAATTCAAGCATATTTCAATCAATTTCTTCTAAATCTTTGTTCACATGTTACTACTCCAGTGCTTCCTAACCACGTTATATTAACAACTATGTAAACCTTTGTTAAAATACTAATAATTTAAGTGTGAATGAAGGTTGTCATGATTAATTTCTGCTAAATATCTGTATAAATGTAACTATTCCAGTGCTTTCTAACCATATGCTCTTTAACCACATACATAATTTTTTAAAGACTTATAAATTTTTATATGAGAACATTCACAATTCAAGCATATTTCAACCAATTTCTTTTAAATCTTTGTTGACATGTTACTACAGCTGTGCTTCCTAACCATAATCACGTATATTATTTTAACAACTACCTAAACCTTTGTAAAAATACTAATAATTGAAGTGTGAATGATGGCTTCCATGATCAATTTCTGTAGAAATATAACTACTCCAGTGCTTCCTAACCATGTCCATCTATATTATTTAAACAACTATGTAAACCTATGTAGAAATAGTAATAATTCAAGTTTAAATTAAGTTTATTTCTATCAAATATATATGGAAACATAATTAATCTCTCTAATCTAATCCTATCCTATCCACGTTTAATATTTAAAGTCATAAGTATATGATGTATACGGAAGAATCATACTTGTATTTTGCATGGATTACAGCTCGATTAAATTATCTTGAATATCTACTGGAAATTGACCTTCTCCATTAATCCTATAACAAATTAAACTAAAAATGTATTGTAGTACGATTAGCTTGTACCTTTTAAAACCCGACTAATCCAAAGCTCGTCAGTCAATTCCACGTTCCTCATTATTTAAACACTTACGTGAAACACATTTCATCTGGATTGAAATTATTCAACTGCGAAAGGATTCTGTAGTACGATTAGTATATGCTATCTTATCTTTGCCTACGGGATGTTATTTTCCGTTTCATTAAGTTGAAATCCGCTATAAATTTGGGGCTTCGCTCGGGTAATTATCCCTGGTGTCGATGTGTTCGCATTGCGGACTTTCCTGTTTTCCTCTCTCTCTCTTTTATTTTTTCTCTGTTAATACACACGCACCATGCACAGCAATCCCATATATTCCCAGATAAAGATAAATACGGGTTTAATGTAAATGTATGCGCACGGGCATCCTCTTTTAACGAAAATTTATTACATCGTCCTCGCCATATTCCCCATGCTCATCGCATCCTTCATCGTGTCTCCATATCAACATTCTCGTCCCGAAATTATGCACGAAATAAAAGCAGGATCGGAGGATGCCAGACAAACTTGTTAATGATTAATCGCGAGACGACACTTTCTTTGCTTTTGCTCCTCATATGTCATAAATTATTGTCAATCGCTTTGACATATTGTTATTATTATACTATGCAAATTTTAAGTATAATATTTGTCTTACATTGTAATATAATAAATCATGTTACACTTGATAAAATTTTCATTATTTCATTAAATATCAATTAAATTATTGATATTTGGACAGATTTATACATTTAAATCTTTGTTATACACAATAGTATACACAATAGTATAGATATAATTATTTGTATTCAAAATAAATTGAGATAAATTAATCCAATAAAATTATGTCATATAAACATGGAACGTTCATATACTCAACTAATCAATCAAAATCATTTATACTACAACATATGATTTAATTAATTAATTCAATTTAAAATCGTTTACAAACTTCAACTGTTGAGAAGTGACAAGAGAAAGATATACAAATTTAAAATATCAGGGTAATTGATGCCAAGTAAAAAAATCTTTCAAATTGTATGATATATCTCGAAAAAGTAATTAATTTAAAGTATGCAGTTATATTGAAGACAAATACATGTACCTAAATTATATTGAATTCGATAGAATTGTCTGAGAACCAAATGTATTCATCATTAGATTAACAATACAACAACTGTAAAGTTAGTTTGAAACTGTTTATTTCGAAGATTTGATTATTATGATAATTATCTTGTAACTAAGTTACAATTTCCATCGGGCATTCTCCTAATTCTCCTACAATTATGAACCTCAAGATAATTTAATCTTAATTACTATTCTCATTAAGAGTTAATTCATATAAAACAGAATAAAATAATATCTTTAAGGAATTTAATTTTTATTATAACATTAATATTTTTTGTTACCTTTAAGTCTATTTTTTGCGGTTCATTTCTGGTATGTATTTAGTTCCTCGATTAGTCCGGTTTCCAACACGGTAAACGGGATATTTACGGAACAAATTACCCGTACTATGTGGGGTATTGCTGTATTTGTTTCCTCCATTAGTCCAGTTTCAAACAGTCTGGTTTACTTGCACAACGCGAAATGTTGCTGTATTTCGAAGTATATACAGTGAATTACATTTTACTCTTGTTTATTTTCGCCAAATTAATTGCAATTAAATAACAGTGAAGTCTAGAAGCAGTTGATGAAAAAAACACCTTTATTACAGAAGTTATTAATCCATGTTCATAGCTAATTCATAAACTTGTATAAACAAATTAAATCTTAAATATTTTATTTGTTCGAGAACCGAGGTACCTCTGTATTAATCCATCCATTAAGCAGATATAGTCATATATAAACAATATAAACGTCATTTCTTGCTTATTATAATATAATTACGAAATAAGAAAGTAGAGATTAAACAATAATAGTGAAGTCTTGAAGGAGTCGATGAACAACTCTCTTTTATTAGAGAATGTAGCTTTTGCATATACATGTTTTTGATATACTTATATACACGCAACACGGTAAAGTGCATCCATTACCGTAGTTCACCGCTACGTCCTAAATTTTTAACAGCATACATGCATAACGAAGCATCCGAACGTAAACAACTAATTAATATGCCCTTTAACGATGAACTTTGTACGAAATTGATGTACACTAATTACATTTTCATTGTAACGCGATTATTAATTAATATCCTGATTCGAAGGACTTTTATCCATTGTTTCTGAACTTTTAGGGAGACGGTGGTAAATAAAATAAATCTATATGCGGATGAGAAGATGAGATTTATGCGTTTTGCTTCTTCGCAGATAGAGAAAGCTGCCCCTGTCACATTTAATTCCGGACTGGAAAAACGGAACGAATTTATATTTGTCCCCCATCGGCTTTCCCCAATACATTACACGTATTGCCTTTTCGGCCCTTTCTGCCGCGGCCGTAAATTTGTAAATTACCGTCGTCCCGCTGTTGAAAATTTATATTTGTATACCGAGTGGTTTTACGTATAGCATTTTAAAGTTCCATCGATGTATGTATGCTAAGCTCAACAGAAATATACGTTCTGCATACTAACATCGAGCTCAAAATATTATTTTGGATTACCATATATTCACATAGTCACAGTCATGAATGAATACCGTGTCAATTTATTTGGTTTCATTATTCTCTACTTCATTATCTTTTTGTAGTTTCTTTAATTGCAATTAAGATTATTCTAAAGTTTATATTAGTTAGTTTATTTCTAATAATTCTAAAGTTCTTATTTAAAGTTCGAACACGAAATGAATTATGTTCGAAAACAGAAAATATATTTGCATGAATAATTGTGTATTTATAAGCCTTTACTATGTAATCAGATAATGAAAATAAACAAAATCTTATATAATATGATTGATCGAGAACCGAGGTTCTTTTGTATTAATCCATCAATTAAAAAACAGTAATTCATGCATAAACTGGTATACAAAAATAAAAATGAAAATCAATAAAATAATATAATTGTTCATGAACCGAATTAATCCATTCTTTAAGCACAAATAACCTCTTATTCAAACCGTATCCACTGTAATTCATGCAATAGTATACTAAATATAAATAAAGTACATAAAATCTTAAATAATATAATTGTTCGAGAACCGAGGTACTTTTTGTAGTAATCCATTCTCTAAGTATGTATAATCGCTTATTCGGTAGCAATTTATACATAAAATCGTATACGAACAAAATGAAAATGAATAAAATGATATAATTATTCGTGAACCGAGGCTCTACTCTAATAATCCATTCCACAGTAATTCATGCAATCGTATACAGAAAATAAAACTACATAAAATCTTAAATAATATAATTCTTCAAGAACTGAAATTCTACTGTAATCATCCATGTTCCTGTATAAAGCTATTCTAAAACCGATACGGACCTACGGCATTCATCTTTGGGGATCTGCCTGTAACACCAGTATTGATATAATACAGAGATTCCAGTCCAAAACGCTGAGGAAAATTACCAATGTTCCATGGTTCTTCACAAACGATGACATCCACAGGCAAGCTAACATCAGTTTCGTCAAGGTAGAAATAGCAAAGGCTAGCACAAGATACCGTCATCGGCTAGAGAATCACCCAAACCAACTGGCTACGGAGCTGATGCATACTGCAGATCATCATCGAAGACTGAAGAGGTTTAAACCGCAAGATTTACCAAACCGATTTTAATAATCAATAAATCAATGTGTGCATAAATAATTATTGTATATGTGAAGTGGGGTTACTGGATCATCTCTTCATTAGGTATTATAGTATTATGCTTATTCAATAGCAATGCATAAAATGTTAAATAATATAATTGTTCAAGAACCGAGGTTCTCAATTTATCAAAAATAGTTGTTATAGAGTACCAATTGAAAGTGTAAGAGTTATTATATATCATGTTAGAAAATACTTAAGAAATTGGATGAACTCTTACAAATTTAAGTCGAAATTATTTTGATCAATAGAATGATTTATTTGAATACTTCTATAGTTAAAAATAATATAAGTAATTACTTATTAATAAGTATATTTTATTATTTAAATATGAAAACAATTGATATTCATAGCTTTGTTTAGTTGAAATGCTATGAAGTATAAACTGTTTTCATTATTAATTTAAAGTATTATTAAATACAGAATTTAATAATGCAAGAGTCACCCAGTATATATTGACTAACGCATCATACAAATAAGCACGTTTGTACAAGCATTTTGCCGGAATAATTGGTGTGAAATCGATGCATTTCAAAGAAAAATAAGGACGTAAGAAGAAGGAACCCCAAAAAAATTTGTAGTTATATCGTACGCCTACATAGAGCTGCAAAAAAGAGGTCTTTCTGAGTGGTTTCAGTTACCATTAGAGCATGAATGGATAATTGCTGTAACTCTCAAAATAAGGACCTTATTCCTGTTAAAGCTCTTACACAATAGCCCGGAACGCAATGTTCACCGTTGTTCTCTCATCTAGCTCCTGGATTCGAGCCATTAAGAAGGCTAGAGACTGGGACGTTAACATCAAAACCGTAAAAAAACCGGAGAGCTTTACGTAACCTCCTAATACCGACACGCACGATCCCGACACCTGCCAGAATTGCAGAGCTCGGAGGATTACTTACCGGATATCCGTCGTGGTGGAATGCGAATCCGTCCGGCATCTCATCTCACGACTTCGTGCCTCGTACATGACCACAGAATTATTTGTTTTCAGCTCCCTCGACGTTTTAATGAACAAGTAAGCTGCTGATGCCATTGGTGCTGCATACCTTGAACAAATGACTACAATTAATATCTATAAAAGTACATCCTTGAAAACATTCATTATACACATAAATGAAGATAAATGAGACTTATAAACATCTAATTTCAATAAATTATATGAAACATCAACAGTTAAAAGAACTTGTTTATCTTTTCGTTCTGGTTACAGACATAAATCTAAAGGTGTGTACACTCTACACAGTAATGTGTAATGTTGAAAAAGTTGATTATATACGTAAATGAAGATAAAGGAGAATTATATACATCTAATTTCAATAAATTATATAAAACATCAATATTTAAAAGCTCCTGTATACCTTAACTTTCTGGTTACAGACATAAATATAAAGGTACGTACACACTACACAGTAATTATTACATAAAATATAAATATATTATGTATTGTAACTTCTAATACAAGTCATAGAACTTCGGCAGGTTTTACTTACAAATGTACAAATCATACTATTAGTAATTGAAACAACTATGTAGGAATACCTCACTTAGTGCGGGTAATCGGTTAAGCCAATATTCCGCACTGTTTGAAACTGAACTAATCAAGGACTTTCAAACTTTTCTTTTTCTTAATTAAAATTGGATTTGTTCGGAAATTTTCAAATCGTACTTTAGTGAATCCGCACTGATGAAAGCCGCACTATGCGAGGTATTGGTGACACATAAGACAAAGAATATGCGAATTAATAAATTCATTAATTATATTACAATATATTAGGTGCAATTTTTTGATGGAAATTTTCGTATATAAAACATGTTTAATTCTCGTTACCAATTTCAACTGATTATCAATAAACAACTATCGATTTGTTGTTATATAAAAACTGGATACAATATATCTTGGGATTGAGCAAAGATTTACAATGGATTATAAGCTATTCGTTAACACCGTCTTTGATAATAAATACGAGTATCGTAAAGTTTGCAAGTTGGCGACTTTCGTAACAATGGTGGGATGCAATGGTCCAAAGGACAGGTAAAGGGAAACTATCGGAAGACGCGATTTACGATTCAGTAGTAAAGTTAGTCCCCCCTTATGCTCGAAGGGTGAATGGGACTTTTAGGAAATAACGAGTTTACAGTGGATTCCCCAAGGTGCGCATCATAAATTATATGACAAATCTTCGAAACATTCAATGTTACGTATGATTCAATACAGAACCTTGAATATACAAAATTATATATTTAACATATAATCTAAGTTTTATTATTATCTATTCTTGCATATTTCAAAATTTCTATATATAAATTTAAATCACTGAATAATGTTTTTATTGATTAGCATACTTTTAAAATTTATCATGGCATAATCATAAATTGATATTTAATAGAGGTAGAAGATATAATGAGGAAATTTGAATCTGTTATTTACAATTAATAAATACATTGATACCTCGGTTAGTCCGGTTTCAAAATAAACTAAATATCATTTGATACAATAAAAAAATCATATTAAAAAAACTAGTATACAAAATTATATTTTGATGCCTCGATGTTTTTTCTCCCTTTATAGTCGTCTCCTATTTTTCATGCCGATTTAAAGATTTCGATTATTCCGGTTTCAAACAGTCCGGGATATTGAAGGAAACGTCTAAGCGCATTATGCGAGGTTTAATTATGCATTATTTTAAATGTTAATCCAAAATTGCTATTTGACAATGAAGGATTAATTGGTTGAAGATAAATCTATTCCAGATGGAGATTAGTGAAGTGATTGTAATGGATATAAATCTAGATTTAGTACGATACAGGAACAAATGAGATGGAAAAAGTTATGAGTTGAATTAGATGAATTGATGTTGTACAACGCCCTTTCCCGCAAACACACACGATCGTGTAATGTTAAATGGCTTTTAGAATTGACTAAGCGAAATTCGATATTGCAATAATTAAGCACACAAAGCAGACCTAAATATCCTTCTATCGTTGCATTAATTCTGCAAATTACAAAGGACCTAATTAAACCCTTTGACGAGTCCTTCAAATCATTTTTCTTCTTGATATCTCAAACAACCAAAGCTTTCATCAAACTCGGTTTTATATTGCATAAAATACTATAATTAAAAATTTAAATTAAGTTAAATATAAAAATTATTTACTTTATCTATAAAATTAATAGTAACATATAGTTATTTAATAAAATAAAAATTAAGCCGAACTGTGGTTTTGGAACGTTTCTGTTTAAAAAAAAAACTTTTTTCACAAGGACGAATTAAATGAATATAAATATGATAAACTTTGAATATATTGGGTGAAGTAAAAAGTTCTGAGCCTTTTGTCCCACACATCGAGCTTCTTGAGTCCAGACTTATACAAATTGTTCCAAACAGTTTTTTTGGCTAATCTTCAGTTCCTGGGCAATGGGATAAGTGCTCGCATGCCGGTCCGACTCGACAATTTCCATGATTTTATCATGCCTATCAGAGCATGATGTCTCATCGTCGACGTCCATATTACCAGAACGGAAGCGTTGGAACCAACGCATTGCTGTTGCATTCGATTCTGTATTGGGTCCATAAACAATACATTTTTTTGCGCCTTTTCCGATTTTCCCCTGAAAAATGTATCGAATTTTCTCTTTTTTACTCTTTCTATCAGTGTGCATATGTACAGGGCTGCTCAAACGATTCTGTTAGTCGATTTTGAACCAATTCATCACAAGAAGATGCGCGTTTTGAATTAAAACTAGTGAACTATTAAAACTAGCAGTAAATTATGTATGTGCGTTTTGAAAATGTCTCCATATGTAAAATAAATGTATTTAAAATGTTTCCATCTGTAATTTAATTATTTATTTTGTTTGGATACACTTTCTCATGTATTTCGTAAATCTTTGACGATTTTTTTTAATGCGGTCCCTATCTACCGCTCATAAAAAGGTTTTACTGTATATAACTATATGAGATCCACTTTTTCCTAGAACGTATTCTTAATTTTACAATAATTCTTATGAAGAAAAAATGGTTTCAGTTTTCGAAGTACCCTTAGAAATTAATTATCTTTATCAATCTGAAATCTACTTGTTCCTAGAACTGATTTTTAGTTTTAAAATAATTCTTATGAGAATAATACTTTTGGTTTACGAACAGGATTTAGGAATGAATTATATTAAAAAAATAATAATAGAAAACACTGTCGGTTTTTGAACAACATTTAGGTATAAACATAAATAAAGCATAGAATTTATTGGCTATTACGTTAATTCTTATGTGGATAATAGTATCGGTTTAAGAACTGCATTTAGGAATAAATTCAATTAAATCAACCTATAGAATCTATTACAATATTGATTTTCTTTTGAAAATAATAAAAAGATATTTTTGAAGTACAAAGTTTTCATTTTCTAAGTTAATATTGTAACAACTGTGACTAAGAGATATTGGTTGGCGCAGGTGCAATATTCCTAGACGGTAAAATATTGCAATCATATTTAATCGTACAATCCAGGCGCGGAAGTAAAAACAAACGGAAAGTAATATAATTCATTCGAAATAATCTTTCTATCTCATAATTTTTAATTAAATTTCTAATTTTGAAACAGAATTACACTTCCAATTTCCACTCTATTTTATGATTTTATTTTCAATTTTACAATTTTAGAGGTAAATTTATTAAAAAATATAATAGTTCTATGAAATCGTGAATTTTATTACTACTACGTTCATTTGAAATTATTAATATAAAAATACAGTGGAACCTCGCATAACGAGCAAAATGAATTGTAAAAAAAATGACTCGCTTAACGAACAAGGTTTCGCATAACGAGTGACTATGAGAAGAGAAGTCCCGGATTGTGTGCTTGCTACATCATTTTTAAAACTTGTGTTCCTATATTGTGTGTATATGTTTCACTAAACGAGTAAAAATCCGGAAAGTTTAAAACTGATTTAACTCGTTAAGCGAGGTTCCATTTTCTCTTGGATTTTTCACTTTAGTCCCAAAATTAACACAAGATTTGAATTTGCCGCAAGTTATGCAAAGTGTTGGCAACGCCAAAAAAACAATTTGACTAAAAACTGTTTTCTATTTAATTCAAATCCTGCGTTCCCACCGTGTCCCACCTTTATCATTAAATAATGTATACCTTTATACCTTTCTTGTTTAAACGATTGAAATACAGTAAATTTCTCAAATCATGCACATAATACTTATTACAACAATATATTTATTTTTATAATTTTTTTTTTTCATTTCTTCAAATATACGATAATAACGTTTCGATTATGGTAATAAAATGGATTTTTACGTCAAGATGATAAAACTATCACATTTACAAAGTTATAAATTGTAAATTTATATTGATATATTTCACAAACAAGATTTATTTTCTTTAAGCTTTCTGAAATAAGCTTATGTATTTGCATTTATTTATACTGTTCAATAGGAACGATGCGTAGAAAAATGAAAGACTTTCGCTTTAATAAATTTCCGAGAAGGGTTAAAAATGAGAGGAATTTGATATGGAACAAAAAAGCACTTGAGAACGGCTACATCTTGTATTTTCCTTTTAATATATTTTATCCTCTTTTTTTATATAAAACTGGAAGGCGAAAAAGTTGTGAAAGAGAATGTAGGAAAAAAAACACAACAACAAAAAATGGAAAATGCGACAGCTTTTGAAGGCGGGAAACAATGTTTTATTTAATTTTCTAACGGAGTGTTTTATATAACAATTTGGTGTAACCTCTGGCAACGGGTTATTCCTTTGTTTAGGCCATCATTCTTTAGCACCCTAAAAAAACAATCCTGGCGGAATTTAATCCAGTTTGATATATAGCGTTGAATAAATATGCATATGATGAGATCCCGACAATATCAAAATTCCGACAACCATTATACCGACAACTTAACATTTAATTTAAAAAGGATTTTAAAAATTATTATAATTAAAATTCTTCAAAATTATACAATACGAAACAAAATTTTTGATTAACAATTAAAAAAATATTTGTTGATATAATCATTAAATTCTTACGTATTGATAGATAACAAAGTTAAAATTATCAAAGTTGATAATTAGAAAACATAGACAAAAAATTGGAACAAAAAAAAATAAATAACTGAAATGAGTCTTATAAAAATTCAATTTCATGAGTAACACTAATTCGATCATTACGTAATAATTTTATTAAAGCAAATAAATCTATTTTATACAAAAATTAAATAAAATAATTATTTAATAACAAATCTATTTTTTTAAGAACTAAACCTAAAAATTTTATTTATTGTTAATAAACTTAAAAAAATAGAACTTTAAATTCCAAAACATAAATTTATATTATAAATTTGTTTAAAATAAAACACTTTTATTTGATAATTCAACATTGATAGTTTGAAAACATAATTGTTAAAAAAAATAGATTTATTTTGAGAAAAGTCTTATTGTTGTAATTATTAGATCAATTATTTCATATACAGATATAAATATAAACTAAACAAATATAACAAATTTTCTGAAGACAAATTTTAGTATTTTTGTCATAATTATTAAATCATTACATAAATATATTTGTTAACAAAAATAACTTATATTTCTTGTTAAAATTATGTCATAATACAAAGTTTCTCAAACATAGTTTGAAAACAAAATTTCTTAGTAAAAACTAAATTACAAAATAATAAATAAATGTCTTATAAATATTCTATTTACTAAATAGAAAAAATAGAAGATGTTATTTGTTATATAAATTATAATCTGAATGTAATCACTTCATTTATTTTATTGTTAAATGAACAATTTGAAAATTTAATAAGAGTTTGGAGAATCTTTATTTTTTTAATGCTTGAAGGAAGTTGTAAATTACGGATATAAATTAATTTAAATTAAATTTTTATGTTATGTTTTATATAAATCAAAGGATATGTAAATATTACGATTTTCTACAATTCTGAATGAAAATAGCTTTTCCTGACCATGAACTTATCTTATCTTATCTAACTGTACAGACTTAAGTCACATACGCTGCAATCAGTAACAACAAAAATAAAATTCATCGTCATTGAATGCTTTTTATAGGCTGATACATTATAGTCACATGTCCTAATGGATCAGCCTCACAGATATTCGAAATTACTACCTGCACTCGGGATCGGAGACTTTCCCGAACCATTTTCTAAATATACCGTCAGTTTGTCCGTTTCAGTCGAATACTGAACATGCACCGCATCTGGTTCATCTCCAGTCGTTGATCTATTTTACAACACTCCACTTACACACGCGATTTACGGAGAAATTAATGTGTGCAGACTTTGTTAGGCTAAGAGAAAATGGCAGTGAAATATCCGACCGATTGGGACATTAATCAGTATTACGACGAGACGGAGCCTCGACAGCACTGGGAACTTCGGAGGGAGTTCATGGTCAAACACAAAGGACAATTCTCGGAGGATTATCTGGTTTCGCTGGGGAGAACTTTCATCAACATCGAGATGATGGGATGCGTGTACGTACGGAAACTTCTTATCGAGATCAATATTTAATGACAGAATCTCAGATATCCGGTGGAAGTGATGGACCGCATCGCGCACATGTCTGAGGATATCGCTGCGGCCTATAGGGATTCTAAGAAGTACAAGCTGCAGAGGACTTTTGTGAGTGCCAAAGATGCGGCCGAGACAAAGTATGGAGGTAAATGCAACCCAACAAGCTTTTAAACCGTATATCGGTAACCTTTTATTCCTTTGTTCAGGTAACCGTCCAAATCCCAACATCGATGCAAATCAGCATCTGCAGAAATTCAGTTCAATGAATTTGTGAAAAAATCTACATTTCTTTTATACACATTTTAATAAGACAAATTTTAATTAATTAATAAAGAGATTAACTAAAAAGAAAATTTCATTATTTATATCCGGGCAGAAAGACAATTTACACAAATTGTTGCTAATAAATATGTTTTTAGTCTCGTTTTGTAAAACAAAAAATAAATCATTAAAAAATAACATTTAATTTTATTATTTCGTAAATATTAAAAAAAAAATATAGTAATTATATTTAATTAAATTATATGAAAAAGTATATAAACAACAAACTTGACTATAATTTCATAGAGTCCTAAAATATTCTGTCGTTAATAAATATTTTTTTGTGTTTGTGTTTAGTTTTAAATCTTTAATAATTATTATTATTTTCTTTAATATTATCAATGAAAAAGTCATAGATTTGCAATTATTTGACAAAGTTATTGATATAACCAAGCTATAATTTTATTTAATTGCATCAACAATAAAACAATTTATAAATTTTGTTAAAAAATGTGGGTATATTTTATAATATCATAATTACTTTATTTAATATATAAAAAAAAATACTATAGTTTGATTTGAAAATTTTAAAACATCGTAAATTTTACTTGATAAATTCAGCAAAATTGCTATATAATTTTTAATGTTATTTTTTTGTTAAAATTTACAATACATTTCATAAAAAGTTATATTTTAATGTGTTTTTTGTGGATTAGTCCGGTTTAAAACAGGTATTCAAAATATTGGCGCACTATGCGAGGTATTGCTGAATAGTCTTAAATTTGTCGTTCAAAGAACTGGAAGTTGAATCATGTATAAATGAAAAAGTCATTGTATACTTGAATAAAGGAATGGTTGAGTGTTTGTAACTGGGGGGAATATTTGATCTCCAGATGTACAGAAACTTGAGAGGGACATATTCTCATCCGTTGGTTCGGAATTTCAAGGTTAAATTACTAAACTTATTCAAATAAATCATAAAATATGTAGTAAGTACTAAGAAAACAATATACAGTGCAACCTCACTTTAGGAGAACCTCGCTTAACGAACAAAATAAATTGTAAAAATGATTGCATAACAGAAGTGACGAACAGAAGAGTATATAATCACACATATTTCCAAACTTGTGTTATTTGTCAGTTTTTATGTGCAAAATTTAATAATCCGAATAAAAAGCAGAAGAATAAGAATAATCGTATATATGAAAAGCAAAATCATTAAAAAGCGAGTCCAAGTTATACTTTTTTTCCTTTCTATCATTACCGTAATTTAAATTAGTTTATATGGGAAAAATTGTTTCACTATACGAGTTTGGAACGGATTAAACTCGTTAAGCGAGGTTCCTCTGTATATTTCTTAAATTCAGATTTATATTGTCAGAATTATTGATTGATTTTATTGATAAACTGATAATTAAATTAGTAAAAATAAATTATTTAGCATAAATTGTAAATCCTGAGGATCAATTAAAATATGTTTGTTGTTATAATCATTAAATCATAACGTTTTTTTTTAAATTGTAAATTACAAAACAAATATATTTCTTAGCAAAATTAAACTAATAATAATATTTATTGAAACAGTTATATAAACTAATAGAAAAACGTAGTTGCAAAGGATCAAACTAAACTATTTTTATATAAATTAAGAAATCAATTTTCTGAATAACTAATTGAAATATACTCCTTGTTATAATCATGAAATTATGTAACTACCGTATTTGTCGGACTATAAGATGCACTTCAAATTTAGATTATTTATTGTAAAAATATTTTAATGTTACCTTCGGACCATAAGACGCACCCAAAATTTGAGTCCATTTTTCTAAGTGCGAACGAAATATTTTCTTGTCTTTACGTAACAGTTTTAATTGTTCCTCTTGTTTTCTCCATTCTCGAACCATTTTCTCTGTTGGTGGTGGACCAAAATGTTTTTCTGTTGCTCTGTTTCCATATTATTTTGCATAATTGATCACATTTACTATATACATCACGTTATATGAAAGTCTTTTTTGTTTTATTTTCAAATTTAGAGACGATTTATCAAAACAAATATTTTTATGTTACCTTTGTTACCTTCCATTTTTCTATGTAAAAGGTGCGTCTTATTGTCCGAAAAATATGGTATTTTTATTTGATAATACAAAAAAATACTAATACTTATAGTTTCAAAATTGAATTATATAATTAGATTTGTTTATGAATCAAGTATGTTTATTTTTTGTAATTTTATATAATTTTTGAAAGAAAAATATTCTCAATTAATTAGTTGTAAATAATTTCCTGTATGTTTGTTGGATTTATTCATAGATGCTATGTATGTAAACAAAATATTGCGAGATATTTTATTGTTATCTCAATGATGTTGTTATTGAGATTGAGAGAATGTTGATAAGAATTTATAAAAAGAACAAAGCAAATTTCCTTATTTCAGAGAATGACGATCATATGTATAATTTGTAAACAAGCTATAAAGTATACATAAAAGTATTGAAATTGTCTTTCAAATTAATAATTCAGAATATTGGACAATTCGAATATTAAATAAAATGTTAAGGAATAATTGCGTAGTTTTAAATATATCAAATGAAATAATTATTGTCGACATAGCAAAAATAATTGTAAATGAAATATTTTTCTAATATTTAATTAAATAATTAAATCTTGAAATCTATTTTTAAATACTCATAAATATACCAATTATATAAAAACACGTATAATTATTAACAATAATGATTTTATTGAAACATTTTTTTTTTTTGACTTTAAAGTTGATTATTTTAGTCATTTTTTGTTATAATTAATTTTGTAATATATTTCCCGTTTTCCTCAAAGTAATGATTGGAGTTTGAAGCTAAATTTACAAAAGTAGTCGGAAAGACTGATAAAATGTAATTTGATGGGTTTAATGATGGTTTTATTATCTAAGGAAAATTTAATAAATATTAATGTTTGGTTCCGAGAAGAAAAATAATTCTATAATTTTATTGTCCCACCTTAATTTGCAATTATTTCCAGCGAATTTGCGTAAAGATAAAAGGACATTAAAACTACGTTTTATGGTCGTATTCGTTAGCTGTAATTACACCAACTTATTAAAATTATCCAGGCCGTGAAAGAGCGACCAAAAAGAAAAGGACTAATTCCAAAGGAAAAGTCTTCTTTCGTAGTGAAAATTATTACTTGCACTCGCCGTAATTCAAATTCAACTATATGCAAATTGTAAAAAACCTAAATCAATATGAATTCAGCTGAGTCAGCCATTTTTTCCATCCATTATTTTCTCCATTCACCCTTGCAACTTTCCCACTAATTCATCCTGCATGCAAATCAATTTTGCATTCTGCGTTTGATGCAATTCCAGTGCCCCGCAAATGCAACCGCCCTCTGACCACACCGGACCGATTACATTCGCTTCTATTTCCAATCCCATTTGAAGATCAAAGCTTTCATTGGGAAAATGTGTCGGAAAAAAAAAATGATGACTACGTAGATAATAATGAGTACATACGAATATTTTGCAAAAAACTGTTTGGGTCAAACGGGGATGTGACGACTACATCTCTCGTACACGGTATGTAAATCTTTTTGAACTTAAAAAACTTGCTTAATAACAAATCTTATTTCAGTGATTATATCTTTATATCAAACACCTGTTACCCCACCTATTCCTATATAATTATGGTTAACCAAAATCATAATGTAAAATATAATTGTATCTGTATAAATAAACAAGCAAATATTAACATGCAAAAAAAATCCACACGTATGTTGATTTGCATACGTGTGTCTGCAATATGGCGACAATTTGTCATTTTTCAATAAATAAAACAAAATCTGTTCATAGAATTATAAAGTCAATACATAATTGTATGCATCAAGGGCCATCTAGTGTCAAAACTTTAAACAAATATGTGAGGAAAGAAAGATTGATTGTAAATAATTTCTACAGCTATATTGTTTGTTAAATGTGAACGTGTGGAGATAGCTTGACAATTTTTACAATATCATTTGAGTGATAGTGAAAGAATGTCAATGTAACTTTTTTGGAGCAGTCACTTGCCTGTTAAAAAAATGTCTAGAGAGCGCACGTTGCATTACAGATTCCATGACAAATCAGAACAGCGATAAAATAGATCACGGAAAAACCGAATAGTGACAAAACAGAACATGGGAAAAAGTAAAGTTCAAGCAAAATAAAAATAAACAAATGACAAAGATTGAATATAATTATAAATTTATGTATGTTATCTTTATGTTATATACCTTTTATATTTTTGTTCGATGTTTTGTTTTGTTTTGTGACTATTCAGTTTTGTCATATTTTATCACTGTTCTGGTTTGTCCTGTTACAATCATTACAATCGCTATTTTTATAAGTGAAAACGGCTGTGAACCGCAATCTCTTGTACAAAGAGCCGCATTTACCTACCTCTGGCATATATGCTTTTACAAAACCACTAAATATACGAAAACAAATCAACATTATATGACAGATAAATTTTCTAGTCAGCTTTAGTTTGTAAATTACAATTACTTGGCCAAATATATAAAATACAGTGGAACCTTGCTTAACGAGCAAAATTAATTGTAAGAAAAATTACTCGCTTAACGAGCGATGTTTCGCATAACTGTACACATATTATGTGTATTTTTGAATACCTGTATTGAAGTATTTCACTATACGGGTAAAAATCCGGAAATTTTGAAAACAATTAAACTCGTTAAGCGAGGTTCCACTGTATGTACAAATTTAATATAATTAATTTTTTTTATTATGAAATTTGTGTACCAAACACGACGCGTCTAAGAAATGTTCACTAAGTTAGCATTAATATATTTGTTTCTGGAAAATCCAAAATTGTTTGTAAATTTGTTAAATTCTAACAATATTTTATGTCAAATTTAAAGAAGATTGGTTAAAACTATTAAAATAAAATTATTTTGTTTTTCCAGTTAACTCAGATTGAACGGTATCAACATAATGAAATTTCTTTATACTATTTTAAGCCAATGTATATAAAAAAATGCATTATATTACTAAGGAAATCAGAAAAAGGGAAACTTT